GTAATTAGTCAATGAAGTCCCTTACATATATATATATATATATATATATATATAATGGAATTTAGGTGGAAACGGACATCAGTCGGTAAAGGTCGGTCGGGCTCATGCGATTTTTCATTCCAGTTTGTTCGATATCGCGCGATCTTCCTACTTTCCCTCTGGTACAATCTAGTGCGTCGCGAGTACATCACCCCTGCAGTGCCCTGCTTGACAATTTTAAAACTGACATTTCTCTTTTTTGGTGTCATATAGAAATCAATATAGTGGGATCCCACCCAACGATAATGTTACACAACTGGATGGTAGGAAGAACCCTTTCCTTTTCTTGTAATTAGGTAGTTGCTCCATTGGAGCTTCATGTGAACCAGCTTCCATTTTGTGGTTGGCATAAACTTAGTGACAAAGATTTTTGAATTTTAATTCATACAAATTTCACAACATCATACCTGTTGAATACTAGACGTCAGGTTTAAATTCTACTGCGTAACCTTATATTTTCAATATAAAACTATATATATATATTTATTTATTACGATAAAAGGAAAACGATAATCACCCTGGGTCTTGTCTCGATTTATCATTATCCAAAGCGATTCGAGTAACGTAATTCTTTCGAGCCATTAATGGCTTTACAAGTTCTTGACGAATAAAACAAATTTAAACCACACTGGCAAAAATATGAGGCTTTCGTTCATGCATGTACTCCAGAGAAAACCAACTCTTTTGCACACAAATTAACAAAAGCTGGGGTTCTCTGAATTAAGGATTTCATAGCCATTTAACTTTCAAAAAAAAAAAAGGATTTCATTGCCATTTTATAATCCAAATATGCTGGAATGTTTCCTTTTGAAAGGCTGACATTTTTTCCTACGTTCTTCCCTCTGTTCTGCTTTGCCATGTTCTGATGAACGTGTTCAATCCTGTTAGTTACTCCCTCTTGACCACCTTATTTCCATGCCTGTTAATGGTCAAATTGAAGTTTAATAAAAACAGTTATAAATCAGGATGAACTTCCTCTCATTCGGGGACAGAGATCGGTTTCCGTAGGCAATGGCAGCCGCTTTGAAAGAACCTATTATGTATTTTTTTTAAGACTTTAATTCTTCATTGACGAAATTAAAGCGACGGGAATTCAAGATTCGATAAGTAATTTAATTAATGAAGACCAAAAACCACAAGCACCACTGCACCAGGCTTTTCCAGGAAAAGCGGAAGTGAGGACAAGTTTACCGGCTGATGTTGGGAAGAGAATTTTAGCTGGAGGAACTCCTAACCAGAACTCGTTTGGCTGAGCTGAAGGAGATAGATAGAGAGTAAAAGCAATCGTTGGCGATTAGATGTGTGTGCATGGCTATCGCCATCCTGGCGTTCATGCCCTATGGATCTGGTCGGGAGCTTCAGATGATTGAAAGAGAGAGATGAGTTTGAACCTGTTAATGATTTTTTTTTTTTTTTGAAAGGCGATTGTTCACTTCATTTCACATAAAAGAATAAAAACTACCCAGTGGTAGTGTGACAGTCAGCACATGCAGGACATATTTGTTCCCTGCCGTTGCTTGACCTGCTTGAGAAGAGGAAGAACCTAAAAATAGAACTGATAAGGTTGGCAAGGGGATCAAACTTCCTGCTGGAATATAAACAATGCCTGAGAAGACCTAAAAATAAACATCCCCAGGAGCATCCTAGCATCATCGCACTGCAACCCGATTTCACCTTCTGTACATTTCAGCAAAAACGGTCACCTATACCCTCTTAGATCTTGTTAACCAAAAGCAGAATTAAAGCATCACCTTCGTACATCAATATAGCACTGGGTGCACCGTGTCAAAGCATGTAGAAACTGATCGCAACATTCTATTTCCCATCTCACAACAGAGCCATTCCCGAGAGATATGCAAACAGAAATCAGTGCAGGCCTCTGGGCGTTGCCTAATTAATGTAACTACATTTGCAGCCTCCAGACTCAAAGCGGACGCAATGAAGCCAAAAAGGATTAATCCAAGCAAGCATACACAACATTAAGAACCTCATAAGCAAAAAGAACCACAGCTATGTACTGTCCAGGATAGTGTTGTCCAAAGCCTTTTTTCGTTGATCATCTTTGGTTTGGTTGTTGCATGCAGTTTCGCTTTTCACTCTAATAAATTAAGGAGCTATACAAATTTGTATTGTAAAAGGATTATAACGCCAGCTCGTGCAACATTTTCCTATATTTATTCCACATGTCAAATTGCTTCGATTTCATGACGTGGGAATGAAAAGCTCCTGGGATTCAGGGCTGATGGTCAAAAAGGGTCTTAATGCTGAGTGCTTTGATGGTTTTTTGCGGTCGATTAACTTTCGTTCTTTCAAAGAGACGAGTTAATAGGTTTTCGATTTTTCCTGATGAGAATGCTTTTGTTGGTTATGAGGATTTGGATGGACTTGCTAGGTTCGAATTTGTTGGTTAGATTTTTGGAGGTGTTAATGTAATGTTCTGAACCCATGTAGAATCAGGATGAAAGGTAGTTCAGGATAACCCATGTTTTTTGATTTTTCTCGGTCGCCCTCTTCAATGTTTTTCAAGGGGCTGGATCTTGCCAAAAATTAGTTCGAACGTCACTGTTGTCTTGGTGGCTGGGTGTTTTTGACAATTGTACAGTTTCTATTTGCCCAGCTCTCGTTTGTGCCATCCAAGTCTCGACTGATATAAGGCAAGAGACTTGAAATGGCATTATCATGCTGAGGTTAATAAATTTTATAATTTTTTTTTAAAAAATATTTACCATAAATTGAAAAAAAAATTACCATAGTTCAAATAATTGAACCAATAAAAAAAATTCACCTGAAAGTATCTAATGATGAACCATTTAGTGAACATTTACATTAAAAATAATTAAAAAATAGTTATAAATAAAATTGAATTTTAACTTTTAAAATTTCGATCGATTTGAATGTATTTAATTTTTAAATATATTATAAAATTATCAACATCAGCATTTACAATTACCTAAAGAATCAACAAGCATCTAGACATTGACAATTCAATCGTGCATGGCAAGGTAACTTGATGATAATTTCAAACTTGTATTGCACAACAAGTTAGAGTATAACGACTTTCAAAAAAAGTAGTTCGAATATAAAATTAATTTTGTTATAGAATTTAAGAATTAGAATTTTAAATATAATTTTTTCAAACCAAATTCATTGTACTAATTAAATGGTTAAAATTAAAGAATTATCATAATGTAAGTATTAAACTAATAAAAAATATTCACTTGAAAGTATCTAACGACGTACCATTTGATAAACATTTACATTAAAAGCAATTAAAAATATTTAAAGATAAAATCAAATTTTAATTTTTAAAACTTCAATCGAGTTAGATTTATTTAATGTTTAAATATATTATAAATTAAAATCAAATAAATATAATTGTTTAATTTATCACAAATCAACCAAACATATATTTTCAAATTGTGAACAAGTCTAACCTAGACTTGATTATTTTAATACATTTCTTTGCTAGACTGATAACATTGTTTAAAGTTATGTTATGCCCTTTTGATACATCCTAATCTCGAATGATGAAAAAATCAAGCTAGGGTCCTTTGCAAGTGGCACCTGACAAAGAACGCTGATTCCATTGGAGCTTGTATCAAACCTGCACGCAAAAATTCACTCTTTTTGTATTTTTTGCAATACATCAACAACAATTTGGCATATCTAAACCTTTTACTTATTAGTTGTTACCTGATTCCCTATTTGAAAAATAAAGTTCAAATCTCATTTCTCCAAATATTAAAAAAAAAATCTGGCATTTATTGTTAAGTTGCTCTTCAACTGAAATGTGGTCAGTCCTCTAACCAACTCATAAACCATCTCTTCTACTTTTTTGAGTATTTTTGTAAAATTCTATGGCATAAATCTTTCAAATTTTGTTTTAATCTGTAAGGCATATCTAAACCTTTTACTTATTTGTTGGTACATGATCCATTGTCTATAAAATAAGGTTCAAATCTCATTTATCCAAATATAAAAAAAAAAATCTAGCATATGTTGTTAAGTTGCTCTTCAACTGAGATGTGGTCAATCCTCTAACCAACTCATGAACCATCCCTTCTACGTATTTTTGTAAAATTCTATGACATAAATCTTCCAAATTCTATTTGAATCTATAAGGAATTGGTAGGAGTGTTCCACATTTCTAAACATATGTAAGACTATAAGCGATTAAAGTTGTTTATGATAGGTAAATCTTCCAAATTCTGTTTGAATGTAAGGAACTGGTAGAAGTGTTTCTCACTTTTAAACATGTTTACTATCATCTTAATTGATTTTGTAAATCCATTATCTACTGCTTTACTAGATCAGCTAAAGCAATTGAACCTTCAAAAGTGGGGGTTTTGAGTTTCTTTTACTCTTGATTTTTTGTTCTTATCTTATTTGTTTGATGTATCACAATAAATAGTTGGCAATAAATCCTTTAAATAGACTTTCAAGTGTCTTTTCCTTATGGACATAACTCTTTTATTAAAACACATATATATCTTATAAAAAACCTTCCGTATTGCAAGACTCAACTTATCCAAAGGTATTGTTTCAATAATTATTTGATGAAAAAAAACCATTTATTATATAAGGATAGTTGTGTTTTTTAATCGTTTTATAACTTTTGGATTTGGAGGTGTTTTTCCAAATATCACTTTATCAAAAGATATAACTTTTCATATGAAAATAACCTAGAATCCAATTCCATTTATGTGACTCTAATAGTCACAACTTTCATATGAAAAAATATAACTTTTCATTTACAATTTATCATATTTTCATTATGAAAATACTCCAACACTAAATTCATGACTATTAAGACAAAGTTGAGTTTTATTATCTTGCTCTTTTGTTTTAGTGGGTACGTTTTTTACCATCTTTTCTTTTTTTTCTGCATCAAAACGTTGCAACAAGTCATTTAGTTTGTCATTGATCTCAATACCTTCTTTACTTAGATGATCAAGAAATTGCATCAAAGGTTGAAATTGATATTCTTGTTGTGCTCTCATTGCTCTGTAAACTTTTTATTCTAGAACTTCAACATTTCAAGTACCATCGATATTGTTTGATGGACAGAGAGCTTCCACAAAACTGCGCAACTTATTCTTGGTAATTTCGTGCTTTTCCCTCTTCATTTTAGTCAACCTAATCAACAAAACAACTTCGTCTTGCTCACATTTTTGGATTATTTTGATACATAGTTAATAATATTGTACGATATGTGATACATATAGTTGAAATAATATGATATCAATAAAAAATGACTCGTATTATAAATACGATTAATTTGATACAATTTGTATAAACTTAATTTTAACTAATTATTAAAAATTTTATTTTTTATTTTTTTGAGTTGAAACATGAAAAATATTTTTTATGAGTTTCAATATTTAAATTTTAAACAAAAAATAGTAAAAAAAATTGAATTCCCTTTTGATTTCGACATGATACGTTTTTCTGTTTTAATTAATAAATTTAAATGAATAATGTATATTTTATTTAAAAATATATATTATTAAGATATATATTGACAATTTAAATTAAAAAATCTAATTTTTCAATTTATGCCATATAATTTCTAATTTTTTTAAAAAATAAAATATTTTTAATTTTTTTATTTTCTAGGTATAAATATTTTTTATAATTAATTTTAATATTTTTTATGATCTTGTGATATAATATTTGATATTAAAAAATAATTTTAATCTTTTTAACTAGACTTAATTATGTTGATATATTTCTTGCCTAAAATGATAATGTTTAAAGTTATGCTATACTTAATTTTTCGAGTTAAGGCACCTTGAATGATACAAGAAATGCAAGAAAATGACAAAAAATGAAAGTTCTTCGAATGATGCAGGAAAATAGAAAAATGGAAGCTTGAACTGCAGCCATAGACCGTGGTGACAGTCCTGAAAATGGCTCTACATCAACACTTGTTGTCTTGCATTTCAATTTTTTTTCAATTATTTTCATATAGATGATAAAAAAAATCATATAAATTTGTCAATAATTAAATAAATAAGATTAACTTTTATTATTGTAAATTTTTTACCTTTTATTTTTTAATATACAAATATATTATTCTTTTTAGAAAAAAAATTAATTTATTTACTTTTTGTCTCATTTTATTTTTTATTTTGAAAGGATTTATTTTATTTTTGGTCAAATTAATTTAATTTTAATCATTTTTGAAAATAGTATATAAAATTAAAATTATAAATATTTTATAATTTTGATAGAGAATTCTTAAAGTTAAGTTTGTTTGATAAAAGAATAAACCAAAAACGAATAGAATAAAGTAGAGACAATATAAAAAAATTTAAATAAATAAAATTTAAATAATTTTTTAAAAATAAAATAATATAAAATCCTTCCTTGAAAAGTATTGACCAGTCTATAAAAATAGGTTAAAACTTTTATTCAATGTATTCAAAGCAACTTCTTTAGAGATGGCTTCTTTCTCCGTGCGTGATCGGCTTCACAAGCATCACAACATATCAATCGCCAAGAAACGCTTGAAATTGCAAACGAAAACGGTAATGGATACGATCTTCCATCTTCTTGCAATCTTTAAGAAATTTTGTGCTTGATTGGATACTCTCTAATTCCCATTGATAGCTCTAGTGGAATCGACATGCACCATTTAACACTTGTCCATCGTTTCAGGGTATTTGTTGGTACAGTGTGGTTCATATTGGTTTACTTGAACATTAATTAATTGATTTTTGATTGGATTTGGACAGAGAAAGAATGGGATGAAGGCCACGCAGGAAAGGTTTAAGAGGTTGAAAACAGAAATGGAGGAGATCAGGGAGGAACAGAAGGGTATTCGAGACGGGCAGAGGCAAGTTCGTGAAAAATTTGAAGCAATTGAATCTGAGTGCGAACAGTTGAAGAAAGAAACTAAGTTCATAATCCAACAAAGTGCTAGAACTCAGATCAAATTAGTTCTCATGTTCAGAATATTGAAGGCAAGGGAAGAAAGTGACTCTGCCACCGCTGCCAATCTTACTCAGTTGCTTGGGTACCTTTCTTTTTTCTTCCCTTTGCATGATCAAGCCTCTACAAGAATTTACAAAGATAAAAAAAATTAAAAAAAAAACTAATTAGGTGAAAAAAAGTAATAAAGCGGATAAATAATTAGTCATTGAATCAAAGAATCTTATATATATTTG